CAATTCTGGACAATAAATGATTATCTTATCTTCCCACAACCTCTTTTAGTGTCGCCGCACACGGGCCACCGACTACAACCACAAAACGCCGCCACCGGCATATTTCTTGTAGTTTTCATACATTTTATATGGACTCGCCACACACGGTACGCGCCGGTGGCCGCCACACGCTACAAATCGTCGTTGCTCGCTTCTTGTGGCCCGCACCGGCCACTTAAAGCGCCGATACAAAACGCCGCCACATGTCACTCGCGTGATTCCCCACCCCTCTCTCCCTTACCTTAAGCGGCCGCTGTCGCGCGCTTAAGCCACTTTAGAAGCCGCTTCTAGATTCTCGTAGCGGCGTTTGTGACTGTGGCGTGTGGCCCGTGTGCGGCGACATTTAGCGGGTCAAATTATCGCCAGACACTTAGACTGCTTTTTCATTACGACAAAACCAATGCTCGAACGCAAATTTTAGCAAATTTAGTACCGAAGCAAAAGCAAAAATGGGAGAAGCATCGGGAGAAAATATAAAAATGTTAGGTGGTTTAGCGAAGACCTCAATATTGCGGGTAGGAAGCGCGTTCAATCTGCGATCGTGTAAGCTATCAACTTTTCCTGTAGTTCGTCATTGGGTGGGTTACCACAGCTTTATTATAGCGAGCTGTTTTGTGCTTCGGAAGGCATGTCAAGACGTTGTTCCCGGTTGCATCTGCAGTCGTGAGCGTCCACTTACACTCACTGGCTTACGTGGTAGGTCACGACCTGGCCTCCCTATAAAATCCATTGGGAAAGCCTATGCTCCAGCAGTAGGAGAACAATAAAAAGCTGCTGATAATTCCTTTACTTCCACTACCTGCTGAAACCACATCATTGGTTTTAACAGGTGGTGGTGATCGCATTGAGCCACCGAATTGTTACAGTTTCGTGGCATTGGGAAAAGATGATTGAAATCCCGTTAAATTGCATTCCGTGAAATGAAATCTAGATCTTGCGAGAACTCGGCATCAAAACCAAACTGCCAACCAATTGTCTGTGATGTGGGGGACCTTGAAATTTTTGGGTGAAATAGCTAAGAAATATGGATATAACCTTGAAATGAGTATGGTTAGGTTAGGTTAGGCAAACAAACGATAGGCCGCAGTTCTATTACATAATGTGAATAGTCCGATCATTGCTGGAATCTAGCTACATAATGAAGTTTACGACGCTAAAGCAGACACTCATCATCATCATCAGCCTATTAATGTTCCCATTATTATAAATGCGGATTGGAGGGTGGTAACGACTGCAGATTCAGCCAGGAACCATAGCTTAACGTGCCTTCCCAAGCACGGAGGAGCCCGAGATAGTAAAATTCTGGTCATCCATCCAGTGATCGACTTTTGCGAAAGTATCTTAACTTCAACGATAGCAGCCGAACGCGTTCACTACTTGCACCATCGAGCTTGTCAAGACAATTATCTTTCCCCAACGGCATTCACGACCCTCAGTATGAGGAATACTGAGTGAGGAGGAGGTGGCACTCACAAAGTCTTCTTTCTTAGTAGAATCATAATCAAGTCCACGAAGTAAGCGGGTAATATCAGTGTGAAGAACAGCGCCACCTGGTGCCGCAGCCAGGAGCTCCTGGGCGAGCCGCCCGGGTACCACAGACACACGGAGGACGGGACCTCCTTCACGTGATGAAGACCTGGACAATCATTCATTCTTGTAAATTAATAGAAAATACCACTTTTTCGGCCAATCTAAATCTATGCCAAAATACAGCTTTCTGGTGTGGCGGCGACATCCACACGCCCCACATATAACCAACATAAACGAAGTAATCACTCGCTCGCCGAGAGATGGCGCTACTGGCGCTGCACTCTATGGCTATCTACATCGCGCAAGAGAAATTGAGAGGATAACTCATCATATATGCCATGCCCGATCAACATCAGTCGGGCTCGTACCTGGGCGTTTTTCTGCGCCCGCCACGACAACGGCTAACTAGAGCCGAGGTCCAGTCTCAGGCCGCCCTCTAGTTGAGCCGACCCCCTCAGGTTCGAGTGGTCTAGAGGCTCCAGCAGATGGTGCGGAGACTCCCCCCGTGGGGAGATGCCATCCGCCTGGACTACCTCTAGAGGCAATCGCCAATTCTCGGCTTGTGGTCCCCCTGGTATCTCGCCGTACTCAAACCCGGTGACGCTGTAAAAATCATCTGCGACCAACAGCATATACACTTAAAAAAACTGCGTGACAATAGATAGGAAAACTATTATCTTTTTCGTGGGTTTTTAGTAAAATTATGATATGAATATTTTTATGTAAAAATAGTAAAAACCCCTGCCAATATTCATTCAAAACACAGATGCCAACAATTGGCACTTTATTTTTAATACTGTCAAATACCCCATTGTATTGATTTTTGAGTAAAACACTCTTTACCGTACACTTCACTTAACCGAAGTACAAACAATCATACATCAATCTAAAGCCCATATTGCAATAGTATGGGGTATTCCCTCTGCATCACAGATAGCCCCATCGCTTCATGTGGTGGCGCTTCAAATGCCATCTATACCCGGAACAAAGAATTATTATAATATGAAATGAATGTCACAAACTCGCACGTCACAAACAATAGGGCTTCAAAAACAGTGTTTTGAGATATCGCGTTTTAACGATTTAAAAAATCATAAAAGCGGAACTACTTGTTCAAATGTTTAAAATGACACCTTGATTTAAACGTACATTATCCTTCTTTGTGCTGAATAAGTTTAGTCAATAGTAGTTTTTATTTTAAAAGTACTTTTATATTAGAGATTGAGTAGAGATAATACCCTATAAGCAGCAGAACCCTCCAGTAGCTCCTATTCAAATGACTGACGATTTGGACCCGACCAAAAGTCATGGCCGTTTGTTGAAATTTTGTTTTTGCTGTCCTAGACGTTCGGCCCTACATAGAGGGATGAGGTATAGTGGGAGTACTTAACTACGTGCAAGGTTGCTCCTCATATGTTATTCTGCCGCGCTTGAGTAAATCCAAAAATCCCCACTTGGGCTTTCCTACTATAAAGACATAAAGAAGAATCGAAAAATACTTACCAAAGGCAAGAACCTCTTTCCATGTGATCGGATTATCGTCCGACAGCGTCAGATTGCATACTTTTAACTCTTTTGATCTGTAACAAGATCGGGTAGTACTCAGATTACACAAAATAAAATTATGTAATTCTATAAATTTTTAAATAAGTACAATTTGGTAGTTTTTTTTAAGAAAATTCCTGCTTGGTCGTTCTTTGGGGTTAGTATAGCTCTTTCGCATTACCACTCTTTTGATTTTTCCGAGGTGAGTGCAGCGTCTACAGAAAACTTTTGAAATAAAATTTTCAACTGTTACTCAAGTGTACAGATCGGAATGGACAGATGTCATGCCATCTTTTTCTGGGCAATGACCGCTACCCAGTTTTCACCTCCACGGTGGAAACAATTTTTTTTACTATAAGATTATAACTGAGTTTTTTTTGAGTGTGTATGCTGTTAATCGTGTTAGGTAACGGACGTAGCAATGAGACAACGGTTCAACGTAAACTGATTCATCCACCGCTTTTCTTTCAAATTATTAACTGGCGCCCAAGTGCGGGGCTTTTGAGTGAACTTGACTCCTGTATCAAGAAAAACACACCTGAGCCCATCGAACCCATTCTCCAAAGACTTCTCCTGTAAGCGACTTCTAACGTATCGACGAGAAAGAATAGAAATACACAACAGTTTAGAAGCTCATTATTTGAGAAAATAATTTATAACCAATTACTAGCACACTTTTCTATAAATAAGCTATTTCATTTAAAACAGTTTGGTTTCACTAGAGGCAAAAGTACTACTGATGCTGGAACTGCACTTCTCAAACACATCTTTGATATATGGGAGAGTAAGCACGATGCTATTGGCATTTTTTGCGACTTATCAAAGGCGTTTGACTGCGTTAGCCATGAAACATTGTTAAATAAAATGAAGCATTATGGTGTATCAAATATTTCACTAAGTCTGATACAGTCTTATCTTTCTGCTAGGATTCAGAAAGTAGTTATAAATGAAGCTGAGTCTACAGGAGCACCCATTTCTATGAGCGTGCCCCAGGGTTCAATATTGGGCCCATTGCTTTTACTTATTTATATCAATGACCTTCCTCACTTTACAAGAGATTTGTGTGAGACAGTACTATTTGCTGATGACACCTCTTTATTGTTTAACCTATGAGGGCCCGCGCGGCCTCGCGCATACGATACCGTAGAGGTAGGCGCACTTAAGATTTGAGCGCGCCATTTGACACTCGACTCGATCTTATTGTATTTTTTACGACTTAGACTTAACAAAGCTCGGCAATGCTTATATTATCAGAAAGATAATGAAATAAACTAGCTAACACAAAATAAACACGTTTTGTTTATATTTGGAGCGGAAACATGAGCTTGTTCTTAGAAGAATTGAAAAATTAACTACTTTGTAGTAAAGATGGAATATATTAGAATTATTTTTAAAAAACATATTTTTATTAGATTAGACATAAAATTCCCTAAACAAATTGGTAATTTTTATAAATATTGTAAATATAAAACTACAACTTTTTGGAGTTTGAAAAAACGCTAAAATTTCACCACGGAAGCGGGGGTTGATCCCGGTTTTTCGAAATTGTACTGTGTCATAATTATAAGGTCTAACTTAGCAAATTTTCGTTTGAAATATCAGTAATTTACATATATTGAATATCACGACCAAACTGTATCGTATTAGCAAATAATATAACAGTAATTACCAAGTTTTCAAGATCAGACATCAGACTCACGCAAAAAGTTATGAGCATTGTTTTGTGCACAGTTTTCTCTAAAATTACTATACAATCCCTTTTTACTTACAGTTAAAAAAACTTCTATAAACTTCTTCACAACATGTACCTAATTACGCGCGATTTGTTTCATTTTGACTATGCCAGGGTAGCCTTCGTGGATTTCTTTCATAATTGAATTTCTTAGTAAATTCGGAACCACAATTCGATAACCCCATATTATACATACTTGAACAACATGTAGACTATCTTTTTTGTTCAAGTATTTTTTCAATGTGAGTGTAATTATGATTAGTGAGGCACCCTGATATAATAAACCCATGGATCTTACTCAACACTGGGTCCCTTTTCAGTTTTGGTATCATTAAAAGTAATCGTAAAGTTACACTGCGCTAATATAAATAACTACCTTCTTCGTCTTCACCTTGTAGTTGTTAAAGTATCGCTTCTAGCAAAACAATTTATTGCTGATTTAACAAACTCCACTGCGAAATCATAAGCCGCCAATTTGACTGCATATCGCTGGAGTCTACTCGCGGCTGTCACCGGTAGTCCTTTATTTTTACCAAAAATATAACTCAAAGGACGGTTGATCAACGGCCTGCCCAAAAACAAACACTACAGAAACCCCCCAAGCACGGCAGAATTCACGCAGAGAATTTGTAGAACGCCCCCGTTCGTACATCCCCATGTCTTATGTACTTTAATTAAGATATGGGTTAAGTTTTGTTGTATAAAATAATAAGATATTTTAAACATCTAAGTTCAACAAAATTAACATACAGAACGAGAAATTATTGACAAATCTTTAAGTTGTAACAAAAATAGATATTAATAACGACAATAATACTACAACGCGTTCACTCCTAAGACCAGATACAAGTATCTTTGCTCAAAAAATAAATTTATTAAAAAACTAATGTTACCAGTATTACAAAGAAAAATATTAAGGTAGAAAATTCAACCAAAGAGATGTTAGCGTTCAAGTGCGATTTGCTAACAAAATTGCATGCTGTGTACTCGTGTATCCCTCGCTTGATCCTCTTTTGTTGTCTCCTGTGAGACATTAAATTAACATTAATATTCTATGCTCATCATAGGATATTATGGTAAAAGTTGTTGTGAAAAACTAGAAAGCACATTAATAAAAACTTTCTATTGTAAAAGTTAAAAGACAATTAAATGTTTATCCATTAACTAGCGGACCCGACAGACGTTGTCCTGTCTACACGTCTTTAATTTGAAAATTTCGAACTTTTTTTAATAAGCTAAAACATTCTGGACCATTTTGATGAAAATTATTATTCAAATGTTATGACAATATCTAACGTCATTACATGTAAATTTATTACAATTAGACTAATCGATAGCGTGTGAGTATGTGTAATGAAATCTTCAACTTGTTTTAATTAAAGGTAAAAAAGCTTACACTCAAACTATTTTATTTAAATAATATATTTTTTTATTTACAAAAACTTAATTTATCGTAATGCCATTGGATGTACAATATTTTTGGTTAAACCCTGAGGTGTATAAATAAATAAATTCGATGGTTTTCCAACTCTGGAACACGCAACATAACGGTGCGCGTTCCCAATACTCGGTAGCACTTTGCCGCTAGATGGAGCTAGGGGCGTAAAATCGGTATTTTTATTTTTTAAAACCTTTTAAAATTGAATATTATTTAATATTTGACACTGCGATGGTAGCGCCGTCTGTCGGATCCAATGTAAAACATTCCAAAATCAACAACTACTAATAAATTAAAAATTAATTAAAAAAACATTGTCCAGCGGACAAAATTGTGAATCTAAACCATTCTCAGATCCCCTTGAACACACACAAAAAATTTCATCAAAATCGGTCCAGTCGTTTAAGAGAAGTTCAGTGACATACACACTCACAGAAGAATTATATATTTTTTAGGTGGTAGAGATTAGGTGGTAAAGTGAGACAAGAGATACGCTGCAGGAAAACGAGCACAACCATGGTATGATACCCATGTATCTAGGATGTATTGTGATACCAGAACCCATTGACGACTTCTACGGGCAGAAGGCGGGATGGGTATTCGTCTGTCGCCACATTCACGGCGATTAAGTACCTAAATTTTTAATCGGGGTCAGCGCTTTTGAAATCTTTTATATGCCACTTGCCTACATACTTTCTGCTTTCGTTTTCGAGCTCGTAAACGAGTGGGGTGAGTTTCCGGATAATTTTGCAACGTTCATATTTCGGTGCAAGTTTGACTGAAAAGTATTTATGAGCCGCGCTTGGTTTATACGTCCGTTTCCAAATGTAATCGCCAACGTTAAAGGAAATATCTCTACGTCGACTGTTATAATACTTAACGTTCCTATCGTGGGCTTTGCGCTGTGAGTCCTGGACCTTTTTGAAGATTTCACCTAAATGACCCAGAATAGAAGCATGAGTATCGCGCGGTACTATTACTAACTCGTCGAGGTCGTTGAAACCGGCATAAATACTACCATCGGTCACAGCTTCCCTGCCATGAACTAACATAAACGGAGTATATGACGTGAATTCGTTCACTGAGGTTTTTATAGCGAACTGGATCTTATGAATATTCACGTCCCCAGACCTATGGTCATTTTCAACAAACGAGACCACGGCAGTGATGACGGTACGGCTATAATGTTCGACGGTGTTAACCTGTGGGCAATACACCGGACCCAAGTGAACTTGTGGTATATTATATTTGGTATATAAAGATTGAAGTTCATGATTTATAAATTGCGATCCGTTATCCGAGATCACGGTCTGAGGTATACCATGAATCAAAAATACATGATCCTCCAGTCGTTGAGCTATCACTTTACCGGTAGCTCGACGTAAACTAAATAAAGAGCGTACTCCTTCCTAAAGGCCGGCATCGCATTTGTGATACTCCTGGTGTTGCAAGTGTCCATGGGCGACATTGATCCCTTACCATCAGGTGAGCCGTCTGCTCGCGTCGTATCCCACGAAAAGGGGCGTTATTGCAAAACAGCAACTTTTCAGGAGAACAAAAACTATAGTCTACAATAAAGTTCTACACCGAAGTGAAGCGAGGGGGGGCCACTATGTAGTTTTTACATCTTGTAGTTAGAATGAGTAATTTTATTGGTAATAATAATGATTTTTTGAATAGTTATACCCCTTAATTCCTTATTCTCCGTTATATTTCCACTAAAAAGCACCCAACATGGGCCCTAAGGTATATTATAACCCTTTTCCTTGGAAATGTTAAGGCAACAATCGCTATTAGGTTATTTCAAAATATTATAAATGCTTTTTCATTATTTATATTGCTCGATTAAACTATCAGGTTACTTA